TGGATGTGATACCTGACGTCGCATTTTTTAAATCCTTCCATTTACGCAAAACGATGGCTCTTGAGCCCCAGCTTGTGTGTTGGGAAAACCGGAAGTCGTGCGAATCGAGATCTGGAGTCTGTGGTCATTGGTTCTTTGCCGAAGGGAGATGTGACAGGGTGCAGTGTCACGGTGCACGGCACAGTAACGTGTCTCAGTCTGCTGAAACTTGCCCGACAGGTAGCCCACCGACCATTCCTGCCGCTCCAACCCTCTCCCTTTAAGAGGAAACGTGGTCATTTCAGCATGACACCATTCCAGGAGCTTTCTGATCCCACCTCATAGAACTGATGAAGGACACAAGAGAGTTTGGGAAGAAAGTTTTGTTCAAATTGATGTTCGACTAGAAAATTGTTCTTGAAAACCTTCCAGACCCGGGTTTCATGTGTTTAACAAAAAAAAAAAAAAAAAAAAAAAAAAAAAATACAAATCTCTATACCTGTCTGATTAATAGTGGATAGCACACCAAAATGAAACAACAATAAATGCTAACTTACGAAATGACTGCAGGACAGGCCTAGCGCAAAGTGCAAAGTCACATTGCAACTGATGGTCAGTCAGTCAGTAAGTCTTGGTTCCAAGCCTCATCTGGGGCTCATGAACAGAGTCCTGCTTGACAGTTACAGCCTTGTTTCTGTGGGGCGCCCTCTCTGACGAGAGGACAGGTCTGTCTCTTGCATATGCTGCTGGCCCTTGCCGGTGCAGTCATTCTTGTGTCCGAGTCCCCTGGTACTCGAGACCATATTTTACCGTCTCAGATTTGAGACTTCCCTTTCATCGCCTCCTACGACTCGCAGGGTCACGGTGGAGGTATTCAACCCCGCCTCCACACAGGGACAAGCATAGATAAATCCTTCAAACAATTTATATAAAAATGACAAAAAGAGAACAATAGAACAGATTCAGTTAAACAGACATGGCCATCCCGGTACCATGAACAAATCCATGTTAATCATCTCCTAGGATGCCACGTAATGTTCCCTGACCATGAACAAATCCATGATAATCATCTCCTAGGATGCCACGTAATGTTCCCTGACCATGAAGAAGTTCCGCATTTCTCAGAACGTGGGAGCTCCTTCTGGATGTGTAAAACTGTACTGGGCACACACTGTGTAGAAGCATGTGTGGGTGCATGTTCCAACAGATGCATGTTTCAGGCAATTGTGCCTGATTCAAAGGAAAGGAAGCATGATTTCCTCCTTCCTGATGTAGCTCAAGTACTGCCACACCAGAGCACATGCCTTCACTGACTCCAGTTTGTTATCCTGCATGTTGGTCCACATCACTCCAAATCCAAATGAGTCATCACAATGACACACCTTAAGGCAGGAACAGAGGCATCTGCTGAAGTGCCAGGTTTATTCAGTATACTTCGGACAATGTGCAATGTCAAGGATATCTGTATAATGTCACCCAAAAATCTTTGCAGAATCATTACTTATCCTCTCACAGATACACTACACAATGACAACTCTCTCTTATGGCACAGATACAGACTGAATCAATGTTTAAAAAAATTACAATCTTCAACATTTACAGTTGCTGGCAACCCTATGATGTAGTACAAAGAGAAGTGTCACTGCACTAGATGGT